CCCCCCCCTGTGTGCACCCCCTGCTGTGTGCACCCCCCGCTCTGTGCACCCGCTCTGTGCCCCCCCCGCTCTGTGCACCCCCAGCCCTAGCACCCCCGCTGTGTGCACCCCCTGCTGTGTGCACCCCCCGCTCTGTGCACCCCCAGGCCTAGCACCCCCGCTCTGTGCACCCCAGCCCTAGCACCCCCGCTGTGTGCACCCCCTGCTGTGTGCACCCCCCGCCGTGTGCACCCCCTGCCCTAGCACCCCCCGCTGTGAGCACCCGCAGCCCTAGCACCCCCTGCTGTGTGCACCCCCCGCCGTGTGCACCCCCTGCCCTAGCACCCCCCGCTGTGAGCACCCGCAGCCCTAGCACCCCCTGCTGTGTGCACCCCCCGCCGTGTGCACCCCCTGCCCTAGCACCCCCCGCTGTGAGCACCCGCAGCCCTAGCACCCCCTGCTGTGTGCACCCCCCGCCGTGTGCACCCCCTGCCCTAGCACCCCCCGCTGTGAGCACCCGCAGCCCTAGCACCCCCTGCTGTGTGCACCCCCCGCCGTGTGCACCCCCTGCCCTAGCACCCCCCGCTGTGAGCACCCGCAGCCCTAGCACCCCCTGCTGTGTGCACCCCCCGCCGTGTGCACCCCCTGCCCTAGCACCCCCCGCTGTGAGCACCCGCAGCCCTAGCACCCCCTGCTGTGTGCACCCCCCGCCGTGTGCACCCCCTGCCCTAGCACCCCCCGCTGTGAGCACCCGCAGCCCTAGCACCCCCTGCTGTGTGCACCCCCCGCCGTGTGCACCCCCTGCCCTAGCACCCCCCGCTGTGAGCACCCGCAGCCCTAGCACCCCCTGCTGTGTGCACCCCCCGCCGTGTGCACCCCCTGCCCTAGCACCCCCCGCTGTGAGCACCCGCAGCCCTAGCACCCCCTGCTGTGTGCACCCCCCGCCGTGTGCACCCCCTGCCCTAGCACCCCCCGCTGTGAGCACCCGCAGCCCTAGCACCCCCTGCTGTGTGCACCCCCCGCCGTGTGCACCCCCTGCCCTAGCACCCCCCGCTGTGAGCACCCGCAGCCCTAGCACCCCCTGCTGTGTGCACCCCCCGCCGTGTGCACCCCCTGCCCTAGCACCCCCCGCTGTGAGCACCCGCAGCCCTAGCACCCCCTGCTGTGTGCACCCCCCGCCGTGTGCACCCCCTGCCCTAGCACCCCCCGCTGTGAGCACCCGCAGCCCTAGCACCCCCTGCTGTGTGCACCCCCCGCCGTGTGCACCCCCTGCCCTAGCACCCCCCGCTGTGAGCACCCGCAGCCCTAGCACCCCCTGCTGTGTGCACCCCCCGCCGTGTGCACCCCCTGCCCTAGCACCCCCCGCTGTGAGCACCCGCAGCCCTAGCACCCCCTGCTGTGTGCACCCCCCGCCGTGTGCACCCCCTGCCCTAGCACCCCCCGCTGTGAGCACCCGCAGCCCTAGCACCCCCTGCTGTGTGCACCCCCCGCCGTGTGCACCCCCTGCCCTAGCACCCCCCGCTGTGAGCACCCGCAGCCCTAGCACCCCCTGCTGTGTGCACCCCCCGCCGTGTGCACCCCCTGCCCTAGCACCCCCCGCTGTGAGCACCCGCAGCCCTAGCACCCCCTGCTGTGTGCACCCCCCGCCGTGTGCACCCCCTGCCCTAGCACCCCCCGCTGTGAGCACCCGCAGCCCTAGCACCCCCTGCTGTGTGCACCCCCCGCCGTGTGCACCCCCTGCCCTAGCACCCCCCGCTGTGAGCACCCGCAGCCCTAGCACCCCCTGCTGTGTGCACCCCCCGCCGTGTGCACCCCCTGCCCTAGCACCCCCCGCTGTGAGCACCCGCAGCCCTAGCACCCCCTGCTGTGTGCACCCCCCGCCGTGTGCACCCCCTGCCCTAGCACCCCCCGCTGTGAGCACCCGCAGCCCTAGCACCCCCTGCTGTGTGCACCCCCCGCCGTGTGCACCCCCTGCCCTAGCACCCCCCGCTGTGAGCACCCGCAGCCCTAGCACCCCCTGCTGTGTGCACCCCCCGCCGTGTGCACCCCCTGCCCTAGCACCCCCCGCTGTGAGCACCCGCAGCCCTAGCACCCCCTGCTGTGTGCACCCCCCGCCGTGTGCACCCCCTGCCCTAGCACCCCCCGCTGTGAGCACCCGCAGCCCTAGCACCCCCTGCTGTGTGCACCCCCCGCCGTGTGCACCCCCTGCCCTAGCACCCCCCGCTGTGAGCACCCGCAGCCCTAGCACCCCCTGCTGTGTGCACCCCCCGCCGTGTGCACCCCCTGCCCTAGCACCCCCCGCTGTGAGCACCCGCAGCCCTAGCACCCCCGCTGTGTGCACCCCCCGCTGTGTGCACCCCCTGCTGTGAGCACCCCCCGCTCTGTGCACCCCCAGCCCTAGCACCCCCGCTGCGTGTGCACCCCCAGCCCTAG